TGGAACTTTCTCCAGTTCATCTTTTGAGAGTGCATATTCAAATAGTGAAGAGATCTGCAGATCTTTTTTTGTTCAGTGATCAGTTTACTTTTAGTAAACGGAACTTCATTATATTTTCATTAAACTAAGTTTATTTAATATCCAGTACTTATTTCCCCGAAAGGGGGCCGAAGATCGTCTGGAGGGGTCACCTGTTTTAACCATTCTCACCTACATACAGTAGTGTATTGTCTTTCAGTCAGTCAGTAAACACTGAAATTACGTCACATCAGGGACCCTTAATATTGCAGTTTCTACTGTCGTGAGGTCAGTAGAACGTGCGCATGCCATGGATCACGAGAAGAAATATGCACTCTGTAGGACAACATAACGTATGAACTTCAAAAACAAGAAATAACAATAATTGTTACTCTTAATTTTGGTTTTATTTACTCTTGAAACAGAACACTTTCGGGAACTCTGCGGAAATACATCTATTATATGTATATTATCATTAACTTTTAATCAAAGAAAGTTACCAACATAGATCAGAACTAAACATTCACACAGTAATAAATATGGCTAATTTAATTTACCACTAGGGGATTACTCCTGATTCGCTTACGATTTTTTTATCTCACTCAAAGCTACGCGAGGGCTATCTGCGCTAGTTGTCACTTATTTAGCAGTGATAGGCTAGAAAGAATGCAGCTAGTCAACACCACCTACCGCCAACCCTTGGGTTACTATTTTCCCAACGAATAGTAAGATTAACCGTCACATTATAATGCTTCAAAGGCTGAACGGGCGAGCATGTGACGGGGATTCGAATCCACGACCCTCAGATTGCGTTTTTTTTTGTATTTGAATATACAAGGTTTATAAAATTTAAAGGCAATGCCGTGTATTTAAAATAATTAAAAAAGTCAACTAAACTGTTTAGACTATGATGTTAGGTAAGTATAATTCATAAAGAATATGATGGTCGTGCGGGGCGTCTCTATGACTGCGAGGTTAAACTAAATGCGCTAAATCTATTCCGCAATATGTGATACCTAACAAAAACCTCTAGTATAAAAGACATTTTGAGCTGAATGGTCTGATAAACCGATCGACTAATCTAGTAAAGAACGCCAGGTCCAATGGCGCTTTTAAAACCTAGGCATTTGGAGCATGTATTAAAACGCTAAAGAAATGAAGAAATTCACACATAAAACAGTAATACGTAAAAACTGCTGCCTGAGATGGGACTCTGAGTAATGACAGATCCATTTCCCTAAATACCTTTCCCTTTGTAATGTTTAGTACTATCTACAGCCACCCCTCCTTTACGCACATGGTGACGTGATCCGTATTTCTCTGTTTCTAATTTTATTTTTGCATTGTTTAATGAAGTTTAAAAGGTTTCCCACGCACGCTCTCACGTTATTCTTTCAACTATACAGATTTTTCAGTTTGGTGTGTTCACTGTTAGCTATATTTTCGGTCGTTAATAGTTTGTTTGTTCACGTTAACAAATCATCATAGTAAAAGTCTTACTGAAATGTTTCTCGGAAAAGGTTTTGGATGACTTAGTATATCTGTGTGGTTTCAAAGAAGAATTAACATTCGATGCTTGGAAGACATAATTGAGTAATGGTAAACAAAGCGAATCGAATCGATGGAGTTAATGTTCGATGCTGAAACGAATAACTTTAACAATTTAGTGTATAAAACTAAGTTCCTGTCTATATGTTTCTACATTTCCTGATCAATCAGCACCAAATTTGACACAGTGATACAGGATGACATGAAGGTCATGATAAGGTTGGGGGTTGGACTCCCCATCTTCTGTATAAATAAACGTCAATATGTGTGTGTGCATCTGTTCCTTATATGTTCCCACATTTCTTGATCAATCAGCACCCAACTTGACACAGTGATACAGAACTACATGAGGGGGGGGGGGTGTTGGACCCCCATCTAATTTCGTATTGGTATAATTCTTGAAAACAGTATTTTCATGATGTTATTACTTCATCCATAAAGATCGTTTTCATTCAAAAATCATGGTTAAAATTGATCCAATATTAAAAGGTACTGTGTACGAAATTATAGAGTAAACATGCCAAATAAAAAAAAAACACCAGATTATATCCGAACTATTGGCTCACTAGAAGAATAGACATTTTTTCAACAATATTCCGATGAAACGGTTCATTCCTTCTTATATTAATACAGTAAGTAATATAATTATTAATACAGTCATTAATGATTTTTATTGTATTATTCTGCTACTGAGGTTAATCGCACTTCATAAAAACCAAGAGTCGGGCTGCCTTCGGAACGACTTTTCTCCGTGGTTGATCCTGGTCATTCTGATGTCCACGATTACACGCTGTTGCGCGATACCGTAACTTCCGTTGTTACAAGCTCTGCGAAGGACAGCTAGGTTAATCTTAGACGATATGTCAGCTTTTAATATTGCGTTTAAGAAGTCTAAAGGCAAAAAAGTCCATTGTAGTTGTATCAAAGAGTAACTGACGTCAGGATTTTATGTATACGAGTGGGCTAGGATTTTTTTACAGTAGATGTCTGTGATTTGTTGGCGATAAATTCGAACAATAAACGGACAGCACACAATCCACTTGTTTTAAAATAATATATTCAAAACAAGTCAAAATATGTACAAAAATTATTTACACTATAGGATATCACAGTTGTATCTAAAACTTTAAATAGTTCTCTTTTCTTGCCAAATTCCATTTAGGATGATTCAGTTACGAACTATTTTTCGCTACTCTTATCACAATAGTATCAGTGAATAACTCACTTACGCTACCACGTGGGTTACCACAGTTGTATCTTGGACTTCAAATGATTGTCTACTTTTCGTCAAAGTCCACACAAATGGGTTCAATTACTTTAGAACACCCTTTGACAAGACAAAATATTCTCCTTATATCTGTTAAACTCACATTAAAATATCGCCCATTGTAGCTAATCACTCGCACGCCGGCTAACTTCACGTTTTCTTAAATTGTTGATTGAACAGCACTTTTTCTTCACTTTACTTTACTTCATTTGACTTGCGATCGCTTGTTCGCCTATATTTATACATTGCCCAAATAAGGCGTGGAATTTTCTCCAAACTACTAGACACTGTGATTCAGTTAAGGTAACGAGAAAAATACCAAATGTTCGAGTAACGTGACGTCAACAATATTAGTAAAGCCTAGACAACAATGTAATTGCAAACACAAAGTACGGCTCGTACAGAGTTACGTAATAAAATTTGTCACAACTAACACTTTTAAAACAATGTACGTTCAACACTCCTGTCTTAAAACTAAACAATCATTAAATATTTAAATAATAACTCTTATATTAAACAGTCTTGAATATCCAACAAATGGCATTACTGTCTTTTCAGCTTCCCCGCATCTATGTTATTCAAACAGCTACTGATTTCAAAGTATAGTTCGAAATCTGTGAACATTTGGGGTGTAAGCTTCCGTCAACTTTAAAACCTCCTTTATTATCTTGTTAAACACACATGAGATATGCCAGGCTTCATTTTTCGGTAGAAGGACTCTCATTTATAATGGTAGCTCCTCTTTGCTCCAGATATGCTTGGGGTGTGGGTTTGGAGTCCATTGCTCTCCTAAACATTCTTGGTTTTCATGTTAAAAATGTCCTGTCCTTTCGCTACGCATGCATTGTTTAACAATCTCATTATGCGATATCATTTCTTGATAAGGTGCTGTGACACAACTTGAAGTTCTTGGTACTATGTGAATATCTTTCTATGATAAGGGCTGTGACACAACTTACAGTATTATGTGAATATCCTTCCTTGATAAGGGCTGTGACACAATTTGCAGTTCTAAGTATTATGTGAATATCCTTCCTTGATAAGGGCTGTGACACAATTTGCAGTTCTAAGTATTTTATGAATATCCTTCCTTGATAAGGGCTGTGACACAACTTGGAGTCATCGTCATATTATACACTACCCTGTATTGGTTAATAGTTAGGCCTAAAGCAGATGTGATAGTTTCTAACACAATATACACAATTTACCATCTGACACACGTTCAACGGGTATGAAGACTTCACAGCTGTTTGAAACTGAAACTGTTCCAGAGTTGATATTGGATAACAAATATAGGGATAATTATCTTTATACGATATTTATTTAAATGCTGTAACTATTGTAGAACAAACAGAGCTAGACAGTTAGGGAGGATTAGCTTAGGACTAGTAGGTGAAGAATTGTGAAAAAGTCATGCTGTGGTTGAAATACAGCATGCTCAGCATTTACGTTCGTTCTTTAACGTCGAAAGGAGCTGAAGTAGCGAATCGGCTTCCCTCCCTTAGTAACCATAAATATTCAGTCCCTTTTAATATTAAAACTGAATTAATTACTTGCTTGTTCTCACTAATAAGCCATATATATTTCCGTAGTGGGGAAACGGACACCTGCTCATTCTGAAAATGTTTAATTAGCTCGTGTAGTGAGTATTATTACCACCAGGTGTGCTTTCAATTGGAGACTGAATAATGTTTGCGTGATAATGTAATGTAGAACAGAATATCAATACTTTTAATATCTTAGTTGCTACACTCGCAATATCCCCGAGTGCTCAGTACGCTGTGTATGATGTGCATTAAACCTAAAACACTTTTTGAAACGGAACAATCGTGTAAATGCGTTCGTTAGTTTCGAAATGTAAAACTTGTGACATGAGAATATAGCATATATTAATGACTCGGTAACTATATAGGCAACGTGAGTTAAAAGACGTTTTATGTTTCAAAACGTTTACTAAATAATCTATAAGATATGCCAGGGTGAAAGTTGTATTATGTTAACTTAATTAAACACAAAATATTGCTGAGGAGATGTCGTGTTATGTTCATCCTATGTTTGATTGTTAGCCTAAGCCCTAAGCTAAGAAAGGAAACTTGTTTTAAAGTCAACGTATAGGTCAATTAGCTCGTGCTTTAGGATAACTGAGCGAGAAGAAAAGAAAATTTTAGGGAACAATCCGAACAAGGTGCCAAGTTTTATATGCCTACTAGCGTATAGTCCGTCAAAAAGGACGAGGCAAGTACTACCATCCCCACCCCCACCCCAACCCTAACCTCACACTTCATAGCTAACTGAAATTTTGCGAAATCAAGGTTGACCAACAAAGAGGCAGAAAAATTCAGTCGAGACAGTGAAACGTTGTTAAATTCATTTGTGAGCCAATCAAAATTAGATCATTCATGAAACGAATTTTTGGCGTATTCAAATAATTATTATTGGTAAAAACCAGTTAGATTAACAACTTCTAATATATAGTAAGGCCAGTGGGTTTTGGTAACAATGACTTTTATGTCATGTTGTTTAGCAACAAAAGTATAACCTAATACTGTTGTTAGTCTATGTACCGAAAGTATAAAATGAAATGTATAGACAACAAAACTCGAAAAAAATGTTTGTTGATTTTTTAATTTAGTGTCTCCATTGGTGAAAGAGGTTTGTTTTTTATTTAAAACGTTGGTGATATAAAACAAAATGGTTTAATTCAGAAACGATTTAAGTTTAAAATTGAATCGATATTTTTACTTTCCAGATAAATTGTATGCACTTGGCTTAGGCTAGGTGATCCCACACCACGTCCTTACTTTAGGCTTATTATACCGACACTCACTACACTTATAAGGTTTCACGGCCCCCTTGCCCCCTCCGTCATTAAAATCGTAGTGGACAGACAGTAATCGAACTATTCTATCTGGATAAGTGCATTTTGGTTTTTATGACTCCTCCTATTTAGAGAAATTAAGCGTGACGTGACATACGCACTGGCTTTTTATTTTGATTAGATGTGTCTCGTGACTGGAACGAGGTGCCAAGTTATATATGCCCATGTGTCCCGTGACTGGAACGAGGTGTCAAGTTATATATGCCCATGTGTCCCGTGACTGGAACGAGGTGCCAAGTTATATATGCCCATGTGTCTCGTGACTGGAACTAGGTGCCAAATTTTATATGTCTGTGTGTCTTGTGACTGGAACGAGGTTCTAAGTTCATATATCCACGTGTCTCGTGACTGAGTATCGTGTACCTCGAGTGCTATAAAAGGCATTTGATTGATTTCTTACATTATGAATTAAGGCAATCAATGAAAGTAATTGAGTAATGGATTGATTGAGTCAGTATAAGAAATTACATCTTCCGATGATTTTTAGTTCGATTTATTGTCTTTCTCTGTGCTTATGGATGATTTATACTTATCCGTAAAAGCATGTAATGTTAAACAAACGACTGTAGATGCGCAGATATCTTGAAATTTTAACCACAAATTACGCCTATCACTAGAGAGTGGATTTGCAAAATATAAAAAAGAGTATAAAATTTATTAGGGAAAATAGTAGTTTTAAAAGTCATAGTAAATCTAAAAACCAGCTATATAATTCATTTACAAATAATACAGAACAACTTTGACCAATTTCAAAATTACAGAGTAAAACAAAACACAACAAAAAACAATGTTTGGAGGTTTATTGATTATCCAATATACAAATTCCTATAATGTGTTATGAAACACCTTATGACTAATTAATACCGATTTGTCCTGGTATAGTGATAACAAGGCTACATAAAACCCGTACAAGAAGTTACATTATATATATATATCTGGTTGTTTAAAAATGTATTCCTGAAGAATCCATGTATACCTGGTTGTTTAAAAACTCGTAGCGGAGTTAACATAATCTATGTATATCTGGTTATATAAAAACACGTACCGCAAGTAAAATAACCATTGTATATCTGATTGTTTAAAATCTCGTAGCGGAAAAACATAACCCTTTTATATCTGGTTGTTCAAAAACTCTAACCGGAAGTAACACAATCCGCGTATATCTGGTTGTATAAAAATTTGTACCGGAAGTAAAATAACCCTTGTATATATTAATTACTGCTAAGCAGGGTAACAGTAGTACTCGCTTAATCACTGCCGAACAGGGTAACAGTGCTTGTTTCTTAAGCGTATAGGTGCACAATGGGCTATCTGTGCTGTGTCCACCACGGGTATCGAAACTCGGTTTTTAGTGTCGTAAGGCATCAGATTTATCGCTAAGCACGGTAAAAGTGGTACTCGCTTAATCACTGCTAAATAAAGTCACAGAATCTCTTAACTTATGTACATTGCAACTTGTTTTAAAGTTTGTGACAAGAGTTATGCAAGTCTTGATGATCGAGTTTATGCTAAATAGTCACAGAATCTCTTATGTACATTACAACTTTGTTTTAAGTTTGTGACAAGAGTTATGCAAGTCTTGATGATTTTTTTTAAAGTTTGTGACAAGAGTTATGCAAGTCTTGATGATTGTGTTTATGTTCGCCTACCCTTTCTCTCTCTTATGTTTCTTTTCAGCTACTCTGTTGTGATTTGGGAATGAAATTCTTCTGATGTAACCGTTTCTTGAGGAAGTCGTTCTAACTCATGAAATGTATTGTACATACACAAATCGTATGCATAATGTTTAAAATTTTGAAAACATTGTTTGGACAAAATGTCGGATCCCTTTAAATGAAATGGGGAATCCAACCTTTTTTTTTCTTTTTAAAACACCGGGTAACAATTTACTATGATCACCTGAAAAAGTAACGCTAGTTCCCAGCACGAGAAACGAGGGCAAACTTTCAAACGCGCATAACGACATTTAGTATATATATATGTATCAATACTTGTACTACTAACTGGAGAAGGAAAACAACAATAACAATATTTGTACCACTAACTGGAGAAGGAAAACAACAATAACATTATTTGTACCACTAACTGGAGAAGGAAAACAACAATAACATTATTTGTACCACTAACTGGAGAAGGAAAACAACAATAACAATATGTGTACCACTAACTGGAGAAGGAAAACAACAATAAC